CCAGCTATAGAAACAGGAAATACTAAACCTATGGTAGTTAAGTTTGGAACGGATGGATACGTTTCACCTTTTGCTGGATTTATCCCTTGGCTACTAAACGAGCTTTACATTTAGTTGGATTGCCATTTTAATCTTCTTGTATTCCGAAAACATTGATATGTCAAAAATGTTGAAATGTCTTTTCATTGTTCATTGTCCCAGCAGCTGTGTCGATGCGTCTTCCTATATTCTTCTACCATGGATTTGTCCTTATACTTTTTGACTTTGAATTATAAACTATTAGGGATCACTAGATGCAAAAATGCACTTTCAATGCAGCTTGAAAATAAAATATATAAATCATGCCTATCTCATATTTTACTGACAAGCGTTCCGCAAAAGGTTATGCAAGGTTAACTTAATGCCCTATGATTAAGGGCATTCTCTCGATTAATGTGCTGAATCAGTTTTAAGATGTTTTACCACACAAATTATATCAACTTGGATTTATTTTAAAACCAATGTTAAATTAAAATATTTTGGAATGCAACACTGTTTTTTACTCCAAAAATCAGCTGACTGACATTTTGAATCATTTGAAACTAGTCTGGACAAGTAGTACGAAAATCTTTTGGCTTTCTAAACTCAAAAATTCAACTACCTCAATTCTGCTCACGATTTTTGCTAAGCAAATTTCTTTGATACATTTTAGATGATTTTTGACCAAACATATTTTTGTGACGGTATGTTGTTTTGAAATTTTTTGATTTATTTATGACATTTCATATGCACAGAACACAGTCAAAGACACATGTTTCTTGTTTTTTTTTTTTTTCACTTTTCATTTTCTTTGAAAAGTCATTTGTGCTAAATTTGCAGTATGCATGCTTGGAATTTTAATTACAGATATTTTTTTATTGTACAATGTGAGAGTACAAAGGGAAATAACAACAGAGAGAGATCAACACTGTAATTAATGTCAGCAACATTGCACTTTTTTGTTATTGTAAAGATTAGATACTCCACGCAAAACAAAAGTTATGAACTTTGTATATCCATGTTACAATTTTCAATGCTGGCAACAAATAAATAATATAGAAAGTGGGCAATTTCCCAGAGACTTTTGTCTACAGATACAAGAGTTATGGCCAACTTTGGTATGATGACAGAATTTCAATGAGCCCAACAAAGAGCTAGTATTTCTTCTAAATTTTGATAAGACCTTTTTAAAAGGTTTTTGTAACAGAAGGTTTATAAAAATTAAGTTTATAGAACACAGGTAGAACATCACTCATGGAAGTCCTCTAGAGAAAAACTGAGAATTTTTTTTGGGTTTATTGAAAATCTGAGCAGGGCCTTGCATCTGAAAGCTCCTTGAGTGGGCTGCTATAAATAGATTATCTCAAAATAACTTTTTTTAACACCTCTTCTCCAAATAATTCAAGTTTATTACTTAGCCTTGTTCGCAATCGATTTACATTTGTTCTGCTTGTTTTTTTTTTTTTTGTTTTTATCGCACCGGTATTTATAAATATTTAAAAGTTCTTTCAAGCCGGTTACGTATTTTGTTTCTCTTTACATTTTGTTCTGCGGTCTTTTCGGGAGATTTTATTCTTTTTTTCTGACTTGCAACTTGACAGCGCTGTTGAATTACTTTTAAATCTCGAAAAACGAAAATGAAAAGGCAATGACCAAACGATTTTTTAAACTTGTACAGTTAACTGGTTGACCTTAAACTTCATTACAAGAGACATATATGCATTCATGCATTGAATAGTGTACGGAATATTGGGCTGGAACAGATTGAAATGAATGTTGGCATCATAAATAAATGGGGAGAGGACAGCCGTCTCTCTGGCATCAATTTTATTTATGATGGAATGTAACATATTTATAATAAAAATCCGTATGGGAATTAACGGCTATTTGTGATCTGGCTTTTCCTTCGATCCACCCCAATATTTATGCCGGACCATCAACTGAACATTCGCTTAAACTTTGTTCGAAGTTTAACTACTTTTTCAATTCAATTTGATGTGTGTCAAGCTAAATGAAGGCTATTATTTATGGAGCATCCCTACGGATAAATCGAAAGGTAATAAGACAAAGGAGATTTACCAATAAAACAATGTATTTGTATTTTTATGAAGTTCCTTGGAATTACAGAAATAAAAAGGGAAGGCTTTCAGTTTGAAATGGCAAATAAAAAGGGGCCCAATAAAGCAACTTGAAGTTCCCAAAACTGGGATTTAAGTTCCGCTCTTCAAGGTCAAAAATCAGTCGGGATCGAAAGTTACTATACAGGGCGAGATAAAAAACTGCAACAAAATCAAAAGCCATAATTTTTACTTTTTATTTTATTGAAAAAAAGCAAAAAAGTGTCGGAAATAGCATAAAATTTTAAAATAAGTTTAGATTTTTTCGAATTCGTTACCTTTGGCACCTGTTCGCGGATAAGTGTACATGTTTTTATAATAAAAGAGAATGGCGGAGCTACCTAGTGTAGATGAGAGGGATTTGTTAAACAGGAATCTTCTTAATACAGTCCACATAAATAAGATAAGAAAATGGTGGTGAGCAGACCTTCGAGTTAGAAATAAATAATACAGAATTTTCAATTGCTGCATGTGTTATGGTGGAGTTAGATTATGGGATGTAATCTTTACTCAGACTGATAAGCAAGTGCAGCATGTTTACTTGCCACATGTGAGAGAGCTATGCGTGTTTATGACCTCTCCCTACGGTTTATGGTGCATATGCATGTGTACAGTTGGTATCTCTCTCTCATTTACACTCAATGATAATTTAGGTTAAGTCATATTATCATAAGTAGTTCTTAAGAAATATTTTTAATAAATAAATTTAGTGTCTTACAAACGCTCAAACGGAAAAGACTTTGCGTCTTTTAAATTTTGATCTCGGTTTAGAGCACCAATTATGGCCCTCAAACGGCCAATGAAACCGTCACACGCTGCCCGAATGTTGCTCTGCGGTATGCTTGAGGTGATCGACACTTTGCTATTTTTTAGTGCCAACCTTGCTTTCCAAAATACTTCGGATTGGTATCCGATTTTGGTGGCCATTGTGCGATGGAAATGAAGCGAAGAACCTAATTTTGTAACCATTCTTGGGTGGCGGGTGTTGAGTTCGATGGTGCTGAGTCCTGTTGGAATGTCCAAGGTCTGCGGCCATAATGTTTGCGTGTCCAAAGCTTTAATACACCCTTCAGAATTTTTATTTTCGCGATAATATTCGTCATTTATTTTGATGCCACGCTCGAATACGTGCGGAGAGCGATCATCGGCTGTTATGGCGGCCCACACCATCACCATGGCCGGCGCTTAAGTTCTGTTGGCCAACCGAAGATGCACATTTTCAGCTGACCTCTTTGGCAAGTAAACACGATCACTTTGTTTGCTACAAACTGCTGGACAACAAATGATTTCTCATCGGAGAAAACCAAATTCGGCAGTTCACCACTTTCGACTAAGCGAAGCAACTCTTTAGCTCTTTTGAGTCTATTTTCTTTTTGTTGCGGTGTAAGTTCTTGCACTTTTTGGAATTTCAATGGCCTTACCCCGAGCTCATTTTTCAATATTTGGCGACGCGGGTTTCGATCAAGTCGCTTCTTTGCTCTTCGAACCATTTCTGACTTCGGGCTACGCTACCAGTATCACGGTAAAGAGCGATGGCACGATACACAAAATATTTATTCACATTTAAATGCTGGAGTCCTCTAACGAAAGTCACTTGTGGGTTTCCAACTAAATATAAATAAATCACACTATCCCGCTCGAATTCCATCACGAATAACTTTTTTTCTGGAAAATTCTCACCAAAATGCTTTCGTACGCTTGTGAACCATATAATGAGCTGTCACTGGAATAATTTTAACAGCTCTCGGATGAGTGGCTTAGAAATGACACCAGGCTGAAGTTGGTTGCAGTTTTTTTTTATCTCACCCTGTATTTTCTATTTGTGAGAAAGGATACTAGGATGTAGGTTTCGCGTGAGATAAATGTGTGTAGAAAATTGGGAACCTTTTCAAAATTTGTTTTTTTGGACCAAAGGTTGGGCGGGCAATGTGAGGGACCAAACATCATCCAGTTCCCTTGTCATGGTCGTGTGGTGTGTTGTTATTTTGTTCTTCTGTTGTGTTGAAAGTGGTCGCTTCGAGTAGACTCTGTTGTGGAGTAATTGAAATAGATCTTGCACGCGTTTTTATGTATACTTATTTTATTAGGGAATTCATGTTATAACTCTAAACGTGACTTACAGACTAATGAGAATAGAATATGAAAAGGAATAGAAATGACATTTGATTATAGTGTTGCCACTGTATTATAATTACATATAGTTGCCAATATACATTTATACATAATTCGGGATATAACATCTTCGTTGAGACCAACTCCTCCCTAGTTGTTAAGCCCCTAGGAAAGCTGGTGTTAAGGGTTGAGAATTTCCCTGGAAAAATTGCCACGATTGAGTGTGTCGGAACCCCACCAGAGTGTCGATGTAGGTGGCACATAACAGAATTTTGTGATTTTATGTTTTGGCGTAATTCCAAGATTTGCATAGCCAACCTGAGAGGGAGGGAGTGAATGGGCTTAACTCCACAGCCATTTTTTATGCACACATAAACCATCATCCTGCAAGCTATTTAGGAGTAATTTTGTGTGCAAATATTTACAAAATATTGGCAATGCATTAACTTGTGTTAAAAGAAAACAATGACACATTAACGCAAATAATTCAGCAAAAAACAAATTGCTGGTAATATTTCTATTTATTATAACCGTGTTAAAAGTAAACAAAAGAGAATAAAAAAATATTTTTTTCTTTTGATTTTTTGTTATAACAAACCAATTTTAACAGCTTTTAAAATTTCACATAAACAAGTCATTGAGTTTGTGTACATCGCTTAAAGCATGTGATAAAATAAAATCAAAAAAAAATTATAGATTATCTAAAAAATATTAACATCTAATTAACTTTTATTCTTTTCTTTCTTTTTCCAGGTATATCACACCCTCGAATGCCCCTCAGAATTCGGTGAACTCGGCTAGTCTAATGTACCCGGGTACATCGGGACAAATGTATCGCATGCATCCAACGGCCAACGCATTACACCACAATGCTGGTGTGACAAATCATCCAAACCCCACAGCAGATATGACCGATGGCACAGAGGCTGCAGCAGCTGGCAGTTCGTCTTCGAATGGTTTTTCACAAAGGCTACGGGAATTGGCAGCCTCGGCTGGCCTAATGTCGCTGAAGACCAAAACCACAACCCTTAAGCCAGTGATAAAAACACGTGGCTCTCCCGGTCCTGAGTTCCCCAAGAAAGTAACATTTAGTGCTTTTGCCACAGTGCAAGTGGTGTGATGGGAACAAAAAAAGAGGGAGCCAATAAAAATTAGCACTTGCTTTATTCAAAATTAATATTCTTCTTTTATGGCGAAAGGCGTATCATCAACTTGGGAGCTAAATGTCACTTATTCTCTCTCTAGGTAATATTTTGAATTTAAACAATATTTGTTCAATTAATTTGATTTTTTTTTCCCAAATGTATTTTCCAGGGTTTTTTTTTTGCTCTGCAGCTGTTCACCTGGTCCACTATGATATTTCTGTGTATATATGTGTGTGTGTGTTTTGTAGATGTATGGATTCTAAGATGAGGTCCACACTGCTTATCCAGCTGATTTGTTGCTATGTTTGTAGTCTTTATTATATAATTTTTTTAGATTTAAGATTTCTAAGAAAAAAAGAACAACATGATATGTATTGTATGTATATAGTAATAGTATATAGTGTGTATGTATCTGGAGTAATCAAAGTCCTATTTTTAAATGCCTAAATCTAAAACATTTACCTAACAGTCAATGATTGGATTTATTTTGTTTGACGTTTGACATGGCATAAAAAATCGAAATGTCTTCTTTTTACAAAAAAAATTAAATGTAGACTTCCTGATTACATATTTTATGGTAATCATAGCAGGATGGATTTTCTAAGTTAAAGACCTTTTGTAGCTCGATTTTTTTAGAATATATTCAAGTCCCTATGTAGAATTTCGGATTTCATTTCATAATCTTTTATTTAGAGTAAGGGTCGGATTCAAACTTTCCATAATCATATAATTCAACCATTTGAGCTGCTGGAATAACAAAAAAGCATATATTTCTCGTTTCCTTTCGAGTATACGATCGGGAATGGGACATATTCTTCGTGGCCAAGTAATGTCTACTTAGCCCATAAAATATGATTGAACAATTCACGCTCATGGAGACTTACACCCCAGACGGCAGAGAAAAGGGCTAAGTACATAAGAGGCTTGAAGTCACGGCTAGGCATATTTTGTGACTTTTCACAAAGCGATTACAGAGCAGCACTAAAATCCTGCCGTCGTTTTCCATTATAATTTTACATTAATATATGCCAAGCCATGACTTCAAGCTTTTTATGTTCTTGCATCTTAAATTTGCCTGACAGACAGCAGTTTCTGCATTTACGCAGCATTTTCTATTGGCACATCTCAAGTCACCGGCACGTTACGTTGCCGCACGGAAGCTGTTATGAAATGTGTTTTTCAACAAATTTTCAAAAAAATGTTGACAGCTCATGCGTCTTCCTGTATTATTTTGCCATAATATGTTTCTTTTGACATTTGGAAATAAAAGTATAATAAATAATTGACTAGAACAATGAAAATACTTACCATTCTCGTTAGGTTGCGTGTTATGCATTTTGATTTTCACAAACGTAAACAATTTGTCAAAAGCTGATTGATCTGCGACAGGGTTGCCATATGCCAATCTGTATTAATTCTGTTTCATTTCGCAATAAGAATTAACTCTGAAGACCCCCCCTTGAATTTAGAGAAGAAAAATTTCGCATAGAGACTTATAGTGCCTTAAAAACTTTATTGGAAAATCCTTTAAAAATAGTCTTACGTTCCCTTGAAACTGTGGACATCTGCGCCTATGGATCCCTTGTCGTGAGTAATTCCCGTCTTTGGAGCTTAGTATTGAGAGATGGACCACTTCGGAGCCCTAGTATTTAGAAATCCATTTCTATAGATCTTTATATTGAGAAATAGACCACTTCGAAGCCCTCCATGCCTGTAGATCCTTAATATTGAGAAATATACCACTTCGGAGCATTAGTATTTAGAGATCCACTCCCTTAGATCCCAAGTATTGAGAAATAGGCCCCTTTGGAGAAATCCTCGCCTATAGATTCTTAGTATTGAGAAATAGACCACTTCGGAGCCTCAGTATAGGTCATTAGTATTGTGAAATATGCCGCTTCTAGAGATTCTTAGTTTTGAGAAATAGACCACTTCGGAGCCTTCCACGCCTATAGATCCCTAGTATTGAGAAATAGACCCCTTCGGAACCCTAGTATTGGAAATCGACGCCTATAGGTTCTTAGTATTGAGAAATCGAAGTCTTCGGAACCTTAGTATTGAGAAATTGGCGCCTTAAGATGAGGGTACATAAGCAGCTTGGCAACATGGGAAGGCATATTAATGTCAAATTATAAAGGGAATCGATGGCAGAATTTATAATATGTCACAAAATATGCCATGCGAAGATTTCAAGTTGCTTATGTACCCACACCTTTAATGTTGAGAAATCCCCGCCCATGGACATTAAAGTCTCCTAATGTCGGAACATTTTAGAGAGCCAAAATCGACAACTAAAGGTGATGGTACACAAGCAGCTTGGCATCATGACATGGTATATTTAGTGACATACTACACAAAAATTCAGAGTCGCACTAGAATCCTACCGTCGTTTGCCTTTAAAATTTGACATTAATATCCCAGGTATTATCCATGGCAGAATAATATAGGTAGACGCGTCGACTGCAGCTACTTGGACAATTTTGGAACAGAAAATCTTGAATGAAAAATTATTCAAATTTGTAAAAATTGTTGAAAAACGCATATTAAAATAACCACCGATTGATGTCGTATAAGAATAAAAATCTACTAATATAAAAAAACGTTTTAAATTTTTTTACATCAATGTTCCCAAGAGTTGATGCACCTACCTTTATTATTTTACCATGCATACTACAAATAGATTTCAGAGCCGCACTAGAATCCTGTCGTCGTTTACCTTTATAATCTGACATTTAAAAATTTCTATTTGAAATTTGACATTTGAGCTGTAACAATAACAGCTGCTTTTAGTTGTATTCGCTCGCAGGGTGGACAGATTTATTGAATCTCTCTCTATATTTTTTCCAATGTCAAACTTCTTACAAAATTACTCCATTCACAGCTAATCATTTCACTTTTATTCTCTAGAAAAAAAAATATATACAAATGCCAAACCTATTTCACAACACATTTGGAGAATGGGGCCTTGCATTTAATGTGCCATGATCAATGTGGCCTTATACAGAAAAAATATAATAATTTATATACAAATATAATAAAATATATATGAAAAAAATAGATAGTCCGTTCCAGAACGAACTGGGGTTTACTTGGCCAAGGAATATCAACTCAGCCCAAGAAATCGAGTAACAATATATGGACTACTGCAACTACAATAATATAAAAAAAAAACTACAACAACAAATTTTAATTAAATTGCAAATTATGCTTTGCAAAAATAAATTGTAATCCAACCAAATAAAGGTCGGAATACATAAAGCGCTTATTAGGCTGGCTTAAATCATCGGCTGGCTTTTTCGTAGAGTTGTACGTTGACTTAGTTCGATGTTGCCCCTAGGCTCCTGTTGTCATTTCCGAAGAAGCCAGCCAAATAAGCGCTTTATGTATTCCCACCTCAAGGCTTATTTTCCTTGCTTATAATATTTTTAATTATTGTATTCTACATACTTGAAAAACTACAACAACATGCTATGTCACTAAATGAAACTTATTTTAAAACTATATATTTTATAATGTTAAGAAAAATATTTCACTTGAAACAGTCTTTAGACTTAAGCTGGGAATACATAAAGCGCTTATTTGACTGACTTAAGTCATCGACTGGCTTTTTCGTAGAGGAACAAAGGAGTTTTAGGTTGACTTAGTTCGATTTTGGCTCTAGGCTCTTTTGTTCATTTCCGAAGAAGCCAGCCAGATAAGCGCTTTATGTCTTCCCACGTTTAAACATAGACGTAGAAAGAAATGCATGCTAAATTTTAGAAATTCTGTAATAATTTTTCGTTGTTCTAATTCTGCAGTATTTATAAAAAATATACATTTTAGTCTATTCATGCTTTAATTTATACAAAAGTAAATTATTGAAAATGGATATTAATATACATATGTAAACTAATGTTAGTTTAAACGAGAGTTTCAAAATCGAACTAAATCAAAAAAAAAAAAAAAAAAATAGAAATTATTCCAATATTTATTTGTGGGAGGTTAGAGAGAACTATTTTTGCATTTTAAAGGTGAGAATACATAAAACGCCTTTTTTAACTGGCCTAAGATCAGCTGGTTTCTTCGGAAAAGAACAAAGGAGCGTAGGGCTAAAATCGAACAAAAAACATTCTTTCTTCAAAAAGTTTTCTTACAAAAATTTGAATTTTGTTTAAAGGAGCATAAATACCAAAAAAAACAAAAAAATATGTGAACGCTTTTCATCTCCTCCGAATCCCAACAGAAACATATTAAAAATTAATATATCTATAGAAAAACCAACTAACTAAAATTGTACACATAGTGTTCCCAAACAAACAAGAATGGTTATGAATAACGAACAAAACATATTTAAATGGAATTATCACAAATTCAAAATATATAGTCATTATTTACAATAAGCATTTATACTAGTTAAGTATCCCTGTATTCTTGAGTGTTTTATAGTAATTTGTATTTGTACTTATATATATTTTTTTTATTATTGTAAAATTTGATTGTGTTCTTGTAAATAAATCATTTCGTTTAAGTAAAATAAACTTAAATAAAAATAATAAAGGCGAAAAATTAAACCAAAAATTTGTTTTTTCTCTCAAGTTGAAAAAGCGCACCAATGGGACATTAAAGTACTTTGAAAAATTCATTCCTAAGGGCCCATGACGATTTTCTTGAAAAATCTACATGTTGGGATCCTTAAGGTGGAAGTACATAAAAAGCTTGAAGTCATGGCTAGGCATATTAATGCCAAATTATAAAGGAAAACGACGCCAGGATTTTAGTGCGGCTCTGTAATTTATGAAATGTCACAAAATATGCCTATCCATGACTTCAAGCTTCTTATGTACTTAGACCCTTAAGGAGTAACAAAGGCGCCTAAGGGTGCAAGTACATAAAAGGCTTGAAGTCAAGGCTAGGCATATTAATGTCAAGTTATAATGGATAACGACGGCAGAATTTTAGCGCGGCTCTGTACTCCCTTTATGAAATGTTACAAAATATGCCTACCCATGACTTCAAGCTTCTTATGTACTTGCAGCTTAAGGCCAAAATCGAACTAAAGGGCTAAGTACATAAGAAGCTTGAAGTCATGGCTAGGCATATTAATGTCAAATTATAATGGAAAACGACGGCTGGATTTTAGTGCGGCTGTGTAATCCCTTTGTGAAATGTCACAAAATATGCCTAGCCATGACTTCAAGCTTCTTATGTACTTAGCCCTTAAGTCAACATTAAGCTCCTTCGTCAAATATACGCTTTATGTATTTCCACGCTTAAGGTGAGATCGCATGGCATATTTTGTGACACATGATAAAGGGATGTCGGAGCCGCACTCGAATACTGCCGTCGTTTCCCTTTATATTTTGGCATTAATACCCCTAGCCATGATGCCAAGCTGCTCATGTACTCTCACCTTTAAAGTACATCGAATATACAGGGTAACTGCAACCAACTTCAGAACATACCGCAATATTCCATTCTGCGAATATTGCAAAATGAGCTCGGGGTAAATTCATTGAAATTCCAAAAAGTGCAAGAACTTACACCGCAACAAAACAACAGAAAGAAAAGCAAGCGCTTCGCAGGGAATGGGTCAAAATACCGCAGAGTAACATTCGGACAGCGTGTGACGGTTTCATTGGCCGTCTGAAGGCCATAGTTCGTGCAAAGTTGACCAATTCGAACAAATCTAAACTTATTCTAAAATTTGATGCTATTTCCGAAATTTTTTGCTTTCATTCAATAAAATTTAAAAAAAGTGTACAGATTATGGCTTTTGACTTTGTTGCAGTTTTTTATCTTAGACTACATGGTAAAAGTTAAAGTTCACTACTATGCAGCTTCAATAGTCCAAGCCTATGTAGCCTTATATTCCTTTGAAAATAGTCCTGCAAAGTCCACGGCTATGCAGCCTTATATTCGCCACCTTTGGATCCCTATATTCGTTTGAAAATAGTCTTAAAAAGTCCCCACCTTTGGAGCCCTATATTCGCTTGAAAATAGTCTTAAAAAGACCACACCTATATAGCCTTATATTGGCTTGAAAATAATTTTAAAAAGTCCACGCCTGTGCCGCCCTATATTCACTTGGAAATAGTCTTAAAATGTCCACGCCTGTGCCGCCCTATATTCACTTGGAAATAGTCCTGAAAGTCCACGGCTATGCAGCCTTATATTCGATTGAAAAAAATCGCCTTTTCGCCCTATATTCGCTTGAAATTAGTCTTAAAAAGACCACGCCTATGCCGCCTTATATTCGCTTGAAAAAAAATCTTAAAAAGTCCCCACCTTTGGAGCCCTATATTCGCTTGAAAATAGTCTTAAAAAATCTTAAAAAGTCCACGCCTATACAGCCTTCTTGAAAAAAATCGCCTTTTCGCCCTATATTCGCTTGAAATTAGTCTTAAAAAGTCCACGCCTACACAGCCTTATATTCGCTTGAAATTAGTCTTAAAAAGTCCACGCCTACACAGCCTTATATTCGCTTGAAATTAGTCTTAAAAAGTCCACGCCTACACAGCCTTATATTCGCTTGAAATTAGTCTTAAAAAGTCCACGCCTACACAGCCTTATATTCGCTTGAAATTAGTCTTAAAAAGTCCACGCCTACACAGCCTTATATTCGCTTGAAATTAGTCTTAAAAAGTCCACGCCTATACAGCCTTATATTCGCTTGAAAAAAAATCTTAAAAAGTCCACGCCTATGCCTCCTTATATTCGCTTGAAAATAGTCTTGAAAAGTCTCCACCCTTGCAGTCCTATATTCGCTTGAAAATAGTCCTGAAAAGTTGAGGACTATGCAGCCCTATCGCCTAAAAATAATCTTAAAGAGCTCCCACCTTTGCAGCCCTAAATTGTTATTAAAATCAATGCTTATATTCCCTGCATTTCTACCTCAGACGCCATTGAGTAAAAAAAGCAACTAGATTCCTAGTTCATTCAGTGAACACACACACATATTTGATTTGGCACAAACTAATCTTCTAGAACCCTAGTTTTAGAAGAATTGGCAATGAAGGAGTGAGAAATATCATCTCTTCTCATTTTCACTGTTTTGATTTTTTGTATGTTTTGTTTTGATTATTATCTTCATCGCGTATTCCCGCTTATGGTCTATGTTTCTCAGATTTACTCTACGGCGTTACGAACTCTACTCATTGGAGCTTTGTACTCTGGAAGAAATTTATGCGGAACCATTGAAAAATGGCCAGTGAATGGTAATTTCTATAAAACCCTAGTGTAATGCACAGAATCTCCTCAAAGAATACGTTTTTCTTCCCAATAGGGTATGTGCTCCGCGCTTGTATGAGGTGACCAAAAACTACTTTCCCAGCTATCAGACATTTGAGCATCCCTTGAAACTCTTTGCTGTGGTGGATAGCAAGGGAACAAGGGCACCCAGCTTAGGTAGCAATGCCAGTAGCCGTTCATCCAGTCTCTCAGTATTGGCTGATCCCCTAGCGGCACAAAGCACATTGGATGCAGCCCTCGATCCATTGTCACAGTTTGCCAAACAGGAACAAGATGCCATTGATCCGTTGACACAAATGGCCTCGGAATATGTAAGGACTATTTTATTATAACCAAATGGTATAATAAATAAGATTCTTCTTTGCAGGAATCCTTTAAGAAAGTCAAATCAAAGATACGTGACAAAGAACCTTTAGATGTACTGGAGGATAGTCTAAATTGGAATTCTAGGCGCCTGACAATACTCAACAAATTTACAACCTCTGAAAAATTGTCCATATCCACCAGTTTCTTGACAACATCTACTTCCTCACAATTGGGCACGGATACTAGTATGTATTGTACCTTCTGGAATGATTTTAAGTTAAATATCCTTTGAATTTCAGTTAAAGTCCAAACAGTCGTCTCCGATAAAGTGAAATTCCGTTTGGAACAATTGGACGACTTTGAGGATGGTTCGGTGCGCCACATG